TCTTATATGATCCACAGTGACCAAGATTGGTTTTCCTACTACTCGGACACATGGGAGCTTAGAGTCAGATTAATTTTATTTTCAGGGGGAGCAGCCTTAAAGTTTCAAAGGTACACCAAAAATAAAATAACATAAGGGCTATGGATGTGGCTCTGTGGGAGAGCATGTGCTTAGCACGTGTGAGGCCCTGGGTTCAATCTCTAGCATCAAAATAAAGACAATAACAAAATTTTAGAAGTGCTCTTCCTCATAGCCAGAATTGTGGAATAAAACCCACGGGTCTCTCTCAGCACATGGACTTGCATGAACCCTCTCATCACTGGGGGGCTATGAATGTCACCTAGCATCACAGTCCTCTGGGTCCTGTCTCAAGCAGAAGGCCTCTCTCCCAGGGCTGGACACCTCTTGGCTGATGTCTCCTTGTGGAGTTAAAGAAGACTTCCCAGATCCTCTGACAGGTGAAATAGCCCCACTCCACCATGCCGCTGGCATCTGATTGGATTATCCTGTGAGGGCTGGAGGCCGCTCTGCACACAGCTCAGGAATTCATTAAGGCTTCCCAGTCGTGAGAGTGATCCTCGGGGCAGCAGCGGGTGTGGGCAAGTCAACAAGTCAACGTTCCAGAGCAGGGGAGCTTGCCAGATGGCAAGGTCAACCAGGGCAGCAGAGCAGCCCAGGAGGCTTCAGAAAGCTCTGCCAGGTGACTCACCTGAGCCTGACGGCACAGGAAACCCTGCCTGCTTCCTCAAAAGAATGAGCAGACAGAAGCAGCACTTCTCTCAGACCCCAGCCCTGGCCCCATCACGTAGTTCACAAATCAACCTGTGGGATGCCTGAAGCTTGCTCTTAAAACATAACTTTCCCTGCCCCCAGTTACCTAAGGATGTAGGTAGGACTTGATGGGAAATGTGGAAAGTGTAGAAAAATCTTACAGAAGAAGATTTAATAGTCACCAGACAGGAAAACCCGTATATGCATCTAGAGCAGTATGGGATCAAGTTTAGGATTAGGGCAGGGTGGCCAAGTTTTCTCAGCCTGAATTCTAAAAGAAATGTTAATTGTGAAAATTCTTAAAAATTCAGAATAGAGAGAAAAGGAGCAAATGTTCAGATACCTGCCACTTGTTTTTTTTTTTAATATTTTTAGTTGTAGATGAACATAATACCTATATTTCTTTCTTCTTCTTTTTTTTTAATAAATGTGGTGCTAGAGATCAAACCCAGAGCCTCATGCATGCTAGGCAAGCACTCTACCACTGAGCCACAACCCTACTCCCACTCGAGGTTTTATGTGCAGCTCTTTAAGTGTTTTAACATTTTAGTCAGAACTAATCTGTTGTGCATTTTGGGGGGTTAAGGATATTCTCTTATACAACCTGAGTTCAATTAGAGCTCCTTAAATTTACACTGATACAGTACTTTAATCTACCGTTCATTTTCCAATGTTGAGAACCTACTAAAGTCCTTGTCTCCAATCTAGGGTGAGGTACTACATTTTGTTATCCTATCTCTTTTACCCCTACTATACCAAATTTCACCACATAATCATTGCAGATTTTATGCCTTGTTTAAAAAAGTGGAGTAAGACCATTATGTGAAACTTTTTGTTTTTAAATTTGTTGGTATTACTTAAGCATCATTTATTACTAAACTGTCTTCGCTCCCATATTAGGATGCACGGAATTCTTATGCATATACGTTAGAATTGAATAGTCCAAATCAAGGCACGTTATTATTTCCTCCTGACAGTTTAGTGAATACTTTTCCTGTGTGGAAAAACAAATACTGTTAACACAGCTGATATTCATTTGTGCATTATAGTCAAAATATCACACTTTTGAGAAAATTTACTGGAGTGCTGCAAAGCATGAACTTCACAAAATTTAGTCTTTTATGTCCAAAGTTTCTGACAAGATATCATTGGTTTCTTTATCCAAGGCACGGTCCTCAGCGCCACCCACAGGAGACGTTTTCCAGTTACTAAGTACTGCAGCACTCTAACCAACCTGCACAAACCGGTCTTTGGAAATATGCTGAGATGCGCATGCGCTGAACATTCTAGGCTTATGGCTCAGCAGTGTGTGGAAGACAAGAGAGCGTCCGTATACCACTGGTGGGTACAATGCTGCGCTGTGTACCTTTTAAGTAGTATGATGAAGACAATTATACCATGCACAATGACCAGTTTTGGGGGGGTGAAAAAACAGGGTACGATGATTATGCAGTGAAATATGGTAGTGTGAATGTTTCCCCACAAGTTCAAGCGCTGGGAAACTGACCCCCAATGCGTCAGTGTGGGGTCTAAGGATAAGTTGTGTATTACATCATTACCACAAGTGTGGGTTAGTTACGAAAGGGGGTCCTTTCTCCCTTTTTCTCTCTTTTGCCCATATGACACTCAAGAAGGCTCTCATCAGATGCCCGCCCCTGATCTTGGACTTCTCAGCCTCCTGAATTATGGGACAATAAATTTCTGCTCATAATAAGTTACCCAGTCTGTGGTGTTCCAATACGCAGCACAAAATGGACTGACACTCTCTGCCCTTGACTCTAGAACATTTCTACAGCCTTTCTTTGTTTCGTATGATGTTGGCATTTTTGAAGGATTCACACCTCTCCATTCAGTTTTAATAGAATGTTCTCACTTTGTGTTTATCAGATGTCCCTTGTGTTTAGGTTAAGGTTATGCATTCCTAGCCTGATTCCTGCATAGATGGCAGCCATCTGTCGCTTGTTGGTGATGTTAATTTTAAACCCCAGAGTTTGGCCCAATTTCTCCACTGTATAATTACTATTCTTTTTCTCCCTACGGTCAATAAGGAGTCTGTGGTTAGACTTTAAGACAATGCAAATATCCTGCTTGTCACCAAAATTTCCTCTTCGGTTCAATATCTATTGATGATTCTGGGCATAGAGAGGAAAACTCAGGAGAAAAATGGAAACTGGCCCTTTGGGGTAAGTTGAAATATTTTTGTCCCATTGAATATTCCAGAGTGAGAAAGAAGGCAGTGATGTGAGAAGAAACAGGGGCCAGACTACAAAGGGCCTGAAGAGGTTTGGAGTGTCTGTTCTCTTCTGCAGGAGGTGGTTTGGGGGGTCACCGCACAGGCTGGATGGAAGATAGGAGGGCAGTTAGAGGCCTCGCCATCATCCAGGCTGAGTTGGCCTAGTTCACAACCTGAGGACCGGGAGCTCTGGGTCAGGGAGACCACAGATAGGGCAGCTCAATGTTATACCACTTCAGGGGCATGTGCGGAGTTAACAGCCTAGAGCGCTGGGTTTACTGTGAGTACAGGAACCCTTGTTTTAGTCATCTGTGTGCTGCTGTGACCGAAAGGCCCAACAAGAACAATGCAGAGGAGGAAAAGTTCATTTGGCGCTCATGGTTTCAGAGGTTCATTCCATAGTTGGTTGACTCCATAGCTCTGGGCCCCAGATGAGGCAGAACATCATGGTGGAAGGGTGTGGCAGAGGGAAGCAGTTTAGGACATGGCACCAGGGAGGAGAGAGAGAGAGAGAGAGAGCGCTCTGCTCACAGAGGACAAAATGTAAACCCCAAAGGCATGTCCCCAATATTCTATGTCCTCCCACATGCCCTTCCTGTTTACAGTTACCACCCAATTAATCCATATCAGTGGATCAAATGTGAGCTTTTGAGAGATACCACATGTCCATCCTATAATAATCCCTTTTTTTCCTGAGTAAGTCCTCTCTTGCCAACCTGATGATCCAGGTGGGTTCTCATTGATGGACAGGAAGGATGCATATGTGTATGTGTGTAGGGATGGGAGGGATTAATTTCAGGAGGATCTAGAGTGATGGTGTAGCTAATGGTGTCTGTATCCCTGCAAGCAGTGAAAATAACCCATGTGTTTTCATTTCTAGAGCAGCAGAGCAGCACCTGGACAGAGGTGCCAGCACTTCTGCCCCACCCTGGCCCTCAGCAATTCATATATATATATATATATATATATATATATATATATATATATATATATATATGGTGTGGGGTGTGGGTATGTGTATGATAGTTATATTCATCCAAGGATTAAGGGAGCTATAGCTCCCAGAACTTTCTGTGGAAGAACAATGTTAGGAGTGTCTCAGGAGAATGAGATGGATGTTATATTATGTTGGCCACATAAGCTAAGGGAGAATTTATAATCTGGCAATTCCATTCATGTACCCACTTGGTCATCTGGCAGCTATTATTGAGCTCCTACTATGTGTCAGGCATTACTGGAGATCCTGGGGGTGCAGGAAATCTCCTAGGAGGAATGGTGGGAGGTGGGGAGTTCATGAGAGTACATGAGTACCAAGAGGTAAGCATGAGGCACCCCTCTATCAGCCTCTTGTTCCCCACTCTACCATAGCCCATTCTGTGCACTGACTGCCATTTGCTGATATTGCCACTCTAAAATTGATTGCTCAAGGCTTGCCACAGTGTTCCCTTAATTCACATTTCGTCAGCATAAACATCAGACACATCCCACTGTGAGGTAAATAATTCCATCTCAAGGAGTCCTGAGGCATGGGTTCTGCCTTGGGGATATCCCAAATGTCACAATAGAGACTGGACTTTGTGTAATGTGGTCCAGTTCCTCTGAACACAAAGGACCCCAGCAAGTGATGGTGCAGGAAAGTCCAATTTGTCAAGGACATGAAGTGGGGTACGGGTGAGCGAAAACTGCCCAAAATCCAAATCCAAAGTTTCCCATTTCCCTGCCATGTTGCCCAGCTCTGGTGCCGTATACACTGGTGTCTCGGTGCCTCCATTCACAAAAGCCTGTACGTGAACTCACAGGTGTCTGAGCTGAACGCTTTGTCCTGGAGGTTAATAAGGAAGGAGTAGAAGCAGCCAGCAGAGAACAGGCCACTGCCCCAGCTCCAACCTGGGGCCAAGCATGGACCATTCACAGGACTCATTCTGGCTCTAGCTCATCCTGTGACTCCAGACACCCAAACCCTTTCACTAGGGCATTTCCCAGGACCATGACTCACCATTGCTGGCGATTTTAGAGATGCACTGATGACACGCCTTCTCCAGGCCGCCCGGCATTGTTCTTGCTCACTGGCAAAGTTATGGGGATAAAAATAAAAAATAATTCATTAGCAAGGTTGAGGGAAGGGTGTTCTAACACCAGTGACTGTCTCTGGGCGGGTCTCTGGGGTATGCAGGGTTGCCTCAGTCAGCATGGGAGCCTGGGTGCCAGTGTCAATGTGAGTCCACCTGCAGAGATGGCCTGGGTCTTGGGGCTGAGAGAAACATCTCATATTTCACAGCTGGGGAATGAAGCTGCTGGAGGTTAACAGGCTCATGATCATACCCAGCCAGGAAGACACAGAACTAGAGAGAGAGAAAAAAACAGCTGTGGCTTACTACACTACCGCTCCACGCCAGACATTGTGTGACCACTCTCATATTTAGTCCCTGACAGTCCTCTAGTTTAACTCTATTTTATAGATAGAGCCTGGGGGGTTCATTTAGGTTCCGATTTGCCCTAAAGCCAGGGCAGACAACTGGCAGAGCCCAAATTTGATCCACATATGTGGAGAGAGCTGGGGTCTTTCTCACTTCCTGACACATGTTCAACTTCTCTCCATTATAATGTCGCTCTCTGTGGACCTGAGGCTGAAGAGTCACCATGAACTTGACCATGTATCATCAGCCTGGAACCAAGACCTAAGTGCCACTCAGGTTTCACTGTGGATTTGCTGTCATCTGAGCAAATTGGTTGACACTGGGAGAAAGGGATTCCCTTCCTTGGAAGAAACATCCATGAATTTAAAACACACAACAAAAATCCAACCAATCAAGGCAGCAGATTTCCCTGCCCGGTAACATAAAGACATTAGAAGGGGCAACAGCTGGAGGAAGCGGGAGGGTTCTTTAATTCCTTCATGCTTGGTGCCCGGGTACGGGTAGTTCTACCATTTTCTACCATTTCATTGCTTTGAAATGAGGCCTCAGCGGGGCCTGGAAGCTCCAGGCGGAATCTGGGTGAACATCCTGACTTCTCTCACACAGCCTCTCCAGGAACTGTTCTGAAGGCATGTGGCTCCTCAGGAAAGCAGTCATTGTTCCTAGTATGGAGGAGGAGGTTTGCAAACCTGGCCACCAAAACCTGTGAGCAATGCTGCTGGCAGGGCCTCTGGGGACAGAGCAGGGTGAGGGTGGCAGCTGGAGAGGGGCCAGGCAGTGTTGGGCAGGATTGGTGGAGCAGATACAGAGGGGAGGAGGATGATAGTAGCAGATATGATCACCTCCACCCCCTGTCGTGGGCATGCACCTGCTGGCAGGAGGCCACCCTGGCAGGCAGCTCTTCTGGCAGTGTCTCCCCTCTGTTAACTTGCAGGTGGCATGAGTTAGCTAGAGCTGTAGGCTCTGGGTTTTTTATGTCCCATCCCTCTGCTTCTAGGATATTCTGTGCTCCAAGCCGGCTCTGTACCTGCCGGGTCTTCTGTCCCCCAGCGGGAGACAGTGTGCTAGGAGGGGGCTGGTCCCAATGGAGGCAAATCACCATGCCCTGCCAAGGTCCTCCCCGTGTGGCCCTCCTTTAATCCTCCAGGGCGCTCAGAAGGCAATTTTACAGAAAACAGAGATTCAGGTCAATTCATTTGCTCAAAGTCACACAGTAAACAGTAAAACTGGGGTTGGAAATGAGGCCCTGGGACTCCATTTATACTTCAAAGTCCACAATCTCTCCACCTGACACCAGAGCAAGAATAAAGGGGGGAACCTAGACAGGAAAGGCTTCCCAGAGCAGGTCGGGGACTCGGCAAGAGCATAGCGCCTTGTGGATTAGACCTGCAGCTGCCGGATCTTATTTAGCCAGGTAAGCATTATTATCCCCATTTACAGATGAGGAAACTGAGGGTCAGAAAAGTTAAGCACCTGCCCAAGATCACACAGCCAGACTGGATCTCAGGTGTCTTAAGAACTGCCAGACTTGCTCTGTCATGACCAGACAGACAGTTTTCAATGCGCTCAGATGACAGGACACAAAGCAGCAGAGCTGAACACAGAGGAACTTGCAGCCCTGATCCCCTACGACATGTCACACTAGGTCATTCCCAGTGGGCCCATTGCTGTTCTCCTGGAAGCAACTGTGGAGGGTGTATGAGTCTTTGTCTTCTGGGCACATAGTAGGTCTTCAACATATTTAATGAATAAGTCCACAAACTACGATTCAAATCTTCCTTCACAAAACTCTGTTTTTCCACCCTGCTGTGCAAAAACTGTCCCCATGGTGTCCTTGCCCACAGAAAATCAGGGTAACTGTAGTCCTGCCTAAACATCAGCCTCCCCTGTATCCTTTACTCGGCTTTCCACCCATCAAGGCGAAATTAGACCAGTTCTCTGGCCTAATGGGGTCAGCCAAGCGCATGCCCTTTTGTTAACCAGGGTAGAGGCTACAGTCATTGACAGCGGTGTGAATTACAGATTAACAGTTGGTGTCCACACTTAATGAGGTTGTCTACCTCGGGAGTGCCACACTAGCAGAGTCACTTGAAACCCCGTCCAGAAGCACACCCTCCCATACTGGGTACAAACACAGTTACCTACAGGAACAGGCAGGTTCCAGTCTGGCCCTCATCTGGGCTCCTAATGGTGACAAGGTTTTTATGTAAAAAAGAGAGGAATCTTGTGTTACAGCACAGAACTTTCTCCTCTCCGTCCCCAGGGAGGCCTCTGCTGTGTCTGGGGCAAGTCTAAGGGGGTGAGGAGAAGCCACACTCTGTCTCTGGCCACATCACAGAAAAAGTCCCCAGTCCCTAGCACTGCTCTTCTTAAGGCAGCCCTCTTGGAGTTTACAACTGGGGAGCTTTGACCATACAGGCCTGGGTATCATGGATGCAGCAAGCAACTAACATTGAGAAGCTGGTGGAACGTTCTTCTCCGGGGTTGGTGTGGACTTCACATCTTCTAGCCACACATGCTCCTCAGATCACAGAAGGGAAACTACACCGGGAGGGGAAATGACTTGGCTCTCGTGCAGTTGAGATGACACTGTTTGAAACATGGGGACTGGTTTCTATCGTACCCTCAACCCAAGGCACCTGGGTCTCTAAATCCACAGCAGCTTGGTGGAGACTGCCTGTGTCATGATATAACAATCCAAACTGTTAGCACAAGGAGACTGGGCAGGACACAAACTTCATAGATCATTTCAGCCTTTATTCAGGAACCGGACTACACCTACAGGAATGGACCCACTTTCCTGGTGGAAAATGAGCCACTGAACTAAGAAAAGGACTGGGCTTATCTAGGTTATCCTGAGAGGTGACTTAATGAATGAGCGTGTCAGCTTGGGCACTCAGGAATTTGGGGTCTGTTTTCCTGGTTGAAATGGGAGGGAGTCTGGCATTGAAGGTCAGTCTCAGGGATTTATCTTACTGGGCTGGATGGAGGGCCTGGGGTCAGTGATTGGTGTCTGGAGAGTGTTTGTTTAGGGAAGGATTTAATGCTTTAGCCCCTTCCCAGAGACTGCCTTTCTAGGTTTGATGGACACCTCCTCCCCAAGGTTAGTTTTATCACCCGGAAAGAATGTACTGGGAAAGGGTCAGTGCCTCCAATTTATGGCTTTCTTTCTCACTCCCCTTTTCTCAAGCCTCATTATTTTGGGGCTTGTCATTTCCCATGTCTAATGCAAACATTTGTGCTTTGGCCCTTTAAGGGGGCCCAAGCTCCAGTTTTCTGAGAATCTTGAAGAATGATGTCAAACTACGAAAAGTAATGAAAGGCTGAGTATAGATTTTTTTTAAATTTCAAGTATCTCAAATTGATAGCTCTCTTTAGCCACTAACTGCAAATAATGGTAGAAACATTACTTTATAAAGCAAAACAAACAACAACAACAAAAAAAAGGTATACTTATTGGGATTAACGTCAGACTAGATCCATTTTATAAATGAAACAGTTCTTATTCCTTCAAACTCTTTATTTTCGTAAACTGACAAGATGGATGAGAACTAAGAAAAGAATGATGTGCTGTTAATCTGTCACGCCTTAAAGACTGTTCCCTAAGAGACAGGTAGCTGTGACAATGGCACTGAGCTTTGGCACCCAGCTGGAAAGGAAACATGGAATTCCCACCAAGAGCCCCAGACACTGGCCATCAAACTCGGTGTACTGTGTCCAGCTTCCCTTACAAGGAATGAAATGTCAGTTTTGTATTATACATATAAATTTATATATATATATATATATATATATATATATATATATATATATACACACACACACACTTATTATATATAAAATATATTATATAATGTATATATATTTATATATAATATGTATATAATAAATACATATATACATATATGTATAATACAAAATATATATGTGTGTGTGTGTATATATATACACACACACAATTTCATTCATGTGATAATGTCTACATGTTTGTGTAAATGGCGTAGGAAAACATCAGAAGCACACTCACCAAACCTCAGTTGATGATCCTTCCCTGTGGAGACAGGTACAGGGAAAGGGGGCCTTAGAGGATAGGGTATTGGAAAGTTTTAGAGGCAGGCATGGGAAATATTTTTATTTCCATTCTATCCCCTAGTATTGCCTGACTTTTGCTCCTCCCACAACATGAGCATTTATAATTTAAGTGAGCGGGTGGGGACATGTAGCTCAGTGGTAGAACTTTTCGTAGTATGTATGAGGCCCTGGGTCTGAGCCCCAATACTAAAAAACAAAACAAAACAACAACAACAACAAAACCCAACCCTTTTTATTTAAACCCTCCTAAAGTTCAAGAAGAACTATTCAAAAAGAAAAGAAGTTTAATTGTTTTCCAAAATTCCAGAGCTAAATAAAAAAAGTAGCATATTAGGAGGATAAGTAAGGAGAAAGTCTCCTTGAGAGCAGAAATCAAAAGAGAGATGATGTGATGATTGATGGTGTGGAACAGTGTTTCTCTTTGGGAATATTTTCTTTAAAATTTCAAAGTAAATTGGCAAAAAAAAAAAATCTCATGATAAACAACTTCAGACCTCCTAGCTCAACAACTGTTAGTGGTTTGGTGCTTATCTTTCAAGGATGCACATATTTGGAGTAGCTCAGTGCTAGTGCACTTGTCTAGCAGGTGTGAGGGTTCTATCCCTAGTACCGAGAAGGAAACCCCACATATGTATGTGCATAAGCAGACATACACACATTTTAGAGTTGCAATCATCAGGCTTTAGGCATATTAAATTAACTCTTCACATTTTGACATAAAAGGTTTTTTTTTGGTTACCATAGTGTCTTCATAGCTATCGTTTTAACAGATGCATCATATTCCACAATATAGGTCATTTATACTACCCTTGGCCGTATCTCATTGGATATTTTCTTATCATTTGTTACTATTATGATTACATTCCTAAAAAAAACACGACCCTTTCATTTTTCATGAAAATTGCTTTCTTTTATACATTACATAACTCCTTTAGAATAATTAGATGTAGGATTATTGAATTAAAAGGGTGAATAATTTTTTGATTTTGAGAAAAGATTGCTTTCCAAAGCAGTCGTATCAGTTACAGTACTACCAGCTACACATAAGAATGCCGGGTTTACCACACCTTTGCTGGTATTGGGTATTACCAAGCATGTGATTACTTTTATAGACAAAAACAGAATGGATTTGCTAATTTAATTTACATTTTTTATTTCCAGTGACGTCACACATTCGTTTATGCTTATTTCCTGGTTGTATATTTCCTTTATGAATTATTTTCATGTCCTTTGCTATGGATTTATTTCAATTCAAAGCTAGAACAAGTATCTATTGAGTGCTTAAGTCAACCAAAAAAGTTGCAATTGGAAAGAATAGCAGAAATCTGCTTTTTTTGAAATTTAGAGAACTCACTGTGTAAACTTATAGATCCAAAATATGCATGAAAGACCTATTCACTGTGACGGTGGGAAATTTAAAAATTCATAGGGCCCATCCATATGCAGCACCAGCCTTTTCAACTGGAACTTCTTCTAAGCCAGTGTGAGTCCCTCCAAAGCCAGAGATGCTTCATAGAGTGGACCTAGGCTAGTAATGGTGAAAATGACATGGACGTGGCAATTTCTATACAAAAATGAACATTTTTCTTTATTTGGTAGGAAGTTTTCTTATCTGGTAGAAATCTGAAACAGGAAGCTTGGGGTAGATGGCTGGCAGTATCTTCTCTTCAGTGTAAACAAGCAGTGACTCAGAGGTCTGTCTTGTGCGTGACTGTGATCAGATCGTGTGTCTCACGCTTGCTTCTACATCAGTGAGCATAGCAATGGTAACCCCTGTTGCTTCCTCTCCAAGAAGCTGAGTGACAGTAAAGGGTATGAAGGAATTAACTGATCATAAGTGCTAAGTGATATTCTCAACACACTTCCATTTTCAATCTAAGTGGTATATCTCTGTGCTTCTCAACCAGGGGGAATTTGTCCCCAGAGGACATTTACAATGTCTGGAGACATTGTAATAGACGGGGTGGGGGCTGTGGATAGAGAAGAGAGATGCTATTAAACACCCTACAAGGAACAGGGCAGTCCCCCACAACAAGAAATTAATTATCTAGTCTGAAATGTGTAGTGCTGAGCCTGAGAAATCCCTTTATAGCTGACTACCATTTCTAATCTTAGCATTCAAATCTATAAAATACTATTTTATTTTAATCTTTCAATCATGTTATTAAATCAATATGGAGCTTGTATGTATAGATGGTTACGTTTTTGACATTTAGCATCAAGTCAGTATTTAGCATTAGTGATTTTCACCCTAAAGTTCCAACCTGAATCAAGAACACATCTTTGCCCTGGTGATTGTGTTTGGAGTGATGAGCTAAGTAAACTAAATTGTTTACTCCTAAATTCAATGTGAGGATGACCCCAACTTATTGTTCGATTTTGAATAACGCTGACTATTAAACATTAACCATCTTAATACCTGTTTCTCCAAAGGTGGATGTTAACAGGTATCACTGGATATTTCCAGCAGTGTTTTGGGCATTCAGGACACCCTGGAGCTCTCTATGTATCCTGTGCTGTTTCCTTAGCAGAAGTCAGTGGAGGTTATTATACACCTACTGCGTGTCAGAGTGATTCAACCCCCTCCCAGGATACCTTCACTGTTTTTTCCCTATTTAATGAAAATGCACTTCCTTTGAGCTCTACCACACTTTTTAAACGATCAGGTCAAAGCCAACTGCTCAGAGATCCACCAGGTAAGACGTGGAGGTGATTTCGTGGTCCCCAACTCTGGCCCTGTACTTAGCAAGTGGTTTCTAACCAGCCAGCATAACTCACTTTTGACCTTGAGTTCCTGTTCCTTTACAATGGTTCTCTCCACGAAAAACAAAAAACAAAAATTTCCCTTAGATTCACTGAAGATTTAAGGTTTTCTTTCCCTGCACACAACTAAGAAAAGCACTTCCACAATGCTGTCACTTTCTTTCCAGAAAGCATAAATCAGCAAGCTGTCATCTTCCTATGAACGATGCCCAGAGACCCTGTGCTAGGACTGTCTCTCCAACTTTAAAGGCTGCACGGGGCTGTCGGGGACCACTCACCTGTAAGCTGAGCAAAGAGTCAGATCCAGAGCCCGGCGCTGGGTCTCCTTGGTTCAGGGCTAATCTGTGGGGCTCCTCTTCACTTGCAGCTCCCCCTTTCTCCCACCCTTGCTTTCTTTCTCGCTTCGGATTTCTCTCCTGTAGCATGACAGCAACTCGTGCCTTTTCCTCTAAGGGGCGGATTATCTGTCTTACCCACTCCCACGTGTGGGGAGAGCACCCCACACTCCGCGCCGACAGCTTTCATACCCTGCGGTATCTCCCGAGGCCGCCAGGGGGCAGCAGAGCCACCCCGGGAGGCTGTCGAAAGCCCGCCCGGAGCCTGGAGGGGGCTCTGCGCTGGAAACATTTCCATAGGGTACGGTGGCTGTAAGGGTGCTGAAGCTCTTCTCTTTGCTCTCTCTGTGTGTTGGTGGCACATGGAGAGAATGAACTGAATAGGTTCTTATTAGTAAATAGGGTGAGCTACTCAAAGTGGGGGTTAGATCATGATAGCTGCCTTATGTACTTGAGAACTGTCATATAGAAAAGTCCCTGTCATTCCAGACCAAGAATGAAGTTGTTCAGAGGCAGAATTGTGCCCAGGAGAAGAAACTTTCTAACAGCTGCCATCTTAGACCAGAAACAGGCTGCTTTGTGAGACCTCGTGTTGCCTGTCCTGGAGGAGCATCAAGTAGGGAGAGTTTTCGGCTGCTGATTTCTAAGAAGTGCCACAAACCCTTTGTTAAGATGCACATTCCTGCCCTGCCTCCCAAAGATTCTGAAAGTATGGTCCTGGGCTTGGGCCCAAGAATCTGCATTGTAGACCTTGCTAAGTCTCTGGTGGGTGCTCCATGGATCGTACTTTGAAAAACAGTGGAGTCAGACAACATTAAAGGCATCTTCTAACAATGACTTTTTATTGTAAAAAACCATTTCCAGGGTGTGAGACTAGGGTGAGGCTAGAGAGGCACCTTTTGCACACACTGTAAGGAGCTGCTCCTTCTGAAGGCTACCCCTGCCCTTGCAAATCCCTGGGAGTGATACCTCCTTAAATCTTGTGTCCAAGTCCCTCCTTGGGCCCACTCTAGTCCTGGCCCTGCCCGTCTCCCAGCCCTGAATCCAAGCTGACCACCTTACACCACATGGTAGTGCAGGGCAGAAAGCAGGAGGGGAGAGAACCTGTTGGAGGAAAAAAGTTAGAGATGCTCATGAATCTCTAAGGTTTGGCCACACCTCACACTGAGCAAGTCAGAGAGGAGTTGTGCAGGCAGTGGGGCAGAGTCGTAAGGATTTCTTAAGATATTGAAGTCTGGGAACACAGCAAGTAAGACTCCAAACTTTTGAGGGTGTTTTAGCCCAGGGATCAGAACAGACAGAATTCCAAGTGATGGGGTAGTCTTCCTGAGAAATCACCAACTGGAGGTCACCCAGTACCTGTTCCAGAAGAAGCAAAACATCAAAGACTGTTTTGTCCCAAGCCACACAACTGCATATGTTAAGTACAGAAATGGGGGCAAGGGGGTGAGGAGGCCAGAGGTTTGCAAGATCAGGAATCTTTGGATAGTAATTATGAGTTTCCAAAACTAAATGATAGATGTAATAATAATAATAATAATAATAATAATAATAATAATAATAACTGTATCTTTAAGAGAGCAGAGGGAAAATTGACATGGAAAATTAGTTACAAAAGCCATGGGGGAGCCAGGTGTGATGGCACATGCCTGTAATCCCAGTGATCTGGGGAGGCTGACACAGGAAGATTGCAAATTCAAGGCCAGTCTCAGCAACCTACTGAGGCCCTAAGCAACATAGTGAGACCCCGTCTCAAAGATGATGAGAAAATTGCTATTGAAATGCTGCCCAAAGCAAAGTAGCTGCTACAAATAAATACCCCATCTCACAGATGAGTAGCATGAGGTATAGACAGACCAAGAAATCACCCAAGGTCTGATGTTAATCATGCCATAATTTTTTTGTGTGTCACAGTCACACCAAGATGCTTAGAGCCTCACTAAGTTGCTGAGGCTGGCTTCGAACTTGCAGTCCTCCTGCCTCAGACTCCAGAATTGCTGGGCTTAAGGTGTGCGCCACCACATCCAGCTAATAAATTTAAACTCAGGCAATGGGCTGCAGAGTCCTTGCTCTGAACCTCTACACTTATTGCCATGTGAATAAAGAACACATTGGAGAAAATAATAGGAGAACTGAATGATAGTTGAATTCCATACATAAATTTGATTATGCATGATGTTGGTTGAGGTGGCTGTTTTAATCAGCTTTGTGTTGCTCTGGCCAAAAGAGCTGACAAAAGAAGAGAGGAGGAAAAGTTTATTTTGGCTCACAGTTTCAAAGGTTCAGTACACAGTCAGCTGACTCCATAGCTGTGGGCCTGAGGTAGCCTGAGGTGGATCAGAACAGAAGAAAGTTGCTCAGTTCATGATGCCCCAGAAGCAGAGTTTGAGTACAAGAATCCAGGGATCATATAACCAATCCCCAAGGACAATGCAGCCAGTGACCTACTTTCTCCAGCCATATCCTACCTGCCTACAGTTACCACCCAGTATTCCATTCAAATCACTAATCCATCAGATGGATTAATCCACTAACTGCGGCTCTCATCATCTAATCATTTCACCACTGAACATTCCTGCGTTGTCTCACACGTGAGATTTTGGGTGACACCTCGTATCCAAACTCTAATAGTGGCCTTGCTGGTGTATGTGAGTTTGTTCATTAGTTGAACAAATTCCGCTTACTTCCAGACACCATGAGTAAAAGGATTAGCCCATAAAGCCCAATGTATCCCATGAGGAATTTTAATTCAAAAGAATAATCAGTTAATGAGTTTTATGGTTTAAATATGAGGTGTCCCCCAAAAGCTCATGTGTGAGACAATGCAAGAAAGTCTAGAGGCGAAATGAGTGGGTTATAAGAGCCTTAACTTAATCAGTGCATTAATCCACTTGAATGGATTAACTGGTTTATGACTCTAGGCAGCCAGGGTGAGGCAGGAGGACATAGATCATGGGAGGCGGGCTTTGGGGTTGTATATTTTGTCCCTGGTGAATGGAACACTCTCTGTTTCCTGATTGCCATGTCCTGAGCTGCTGTCAAACCCTTTCGCCATGATGTTTTCTGCCTCATCTTGGGCCCAGACAACAGTCAGACGTCTATGGACTGAGACCTCTGAAACTGTGAGCACCGAATAAAACTTTCCTCCCCTAAAATTGTTATTGTCAGGTCTTTTGGTCACAGTGACAAAAAACAAAAACAAAACAAAAAAAAACTGGACTAAAACAATGAGCATATGCCTGAGTTTGATTACAAAGGAGTCAAAGTTAATGAAGGTATGCCTGACGTTTTGACAGAAGCCATAGAAATGAAGGCAGTCTTTAAAGTTGGCCAAAGACCAAGTCAAGCACCCCTCGAGGGGCAAAGATTCTAAAGTCTAACTTAATTCTCTCCTTTTTATTTCGCCAAATCATCTTTAAATAATGTTGCTCTCACCCTTCCTTTCTAATATTCATACCTCTTATTCTATTTCCTTGTCAAATGCACTGTTTACAGAGTCTTTTGTAAACAAAACACTTTGTTCTTAATTTTAATGTTCTCAGGTATGTTATCTTTAAAAATACTTAAAACCCTGGCCAGTTGGCAGGGCACGGTGGCACACGCCCATAATTCCAGTACCTCAGGAGGCTGAAGCAGGAGGATCGCGAGTTCACAGCCAGCCTCAGCAAAGGTAAAGTGCTAAGCATCTCAGTGAGAACCTGTCGCTAAATAAAAAGCAAAATAGGGCTGGAGATGTGGCTCAGCGGTCAGGTGCCCCTGAGTTCCAGGGGGTACCCCCCCAACACCAAAAAACAAAAAAACAAAACCTGGCTAATCAGAACAGATGCCAGCTATAGACAATAAAGCCAAACCAGAGTGCAACACAGGCACAGAATAAACCCCAACTGTTTTTAGCATCAAACATGATGATGTTTGCTGCTTTGTAATAAATTAAAAATGATATTTTAACTCTTATTTTCCAAGAATATTTTCTCAAAATAGAGCCAAGTTGGATGCAGCCTTTCTGTTCCGACACTGCCAATCATGGCTCCGCAGTCACCTGTCCCCATCCCAATCCTTCGGGCTGTGCAGAATAACAGGATGCAGTCCACTCAAATGGAACAGGGGCCTCTGAACCTGATTCCTGTGGCCCCCACATTCTTCTTATGCACTGGAACCTTCTCCCTAGTAACCTGGAAAGGCACCTGCTCTTAGGGCCTGCAGCACACATCCTTTCTGAAGTCTTCCCTAACCTTTCCTGCACTCTGAGCACCTCCACTCAAGAAAAAATCAGCCCCTGTTCACCCCCAGCTTATCCCGGGAACACTTCCTGCATGGCCCTTTCTTCCACGCTGTATTTGTGTTTCGCTCTTTGCTTTTTGTCTCCATTTGTGGGCCGTGAGCTCCTCTGTCCTCAACGCCAGGCTCAGGGCTTGCTGCTTCATTCGCACCCAATTAACATTTTTGAATGAATGAGTGAAGCCAAGAGGAGTGACTCTCACTCTGAGTGTGACCATTGATCACGTAAAGCTGATATCTTTCTTAGAATGATAAATGGATGCGTTTTCATTTCTTTTAACTAATGATGCCAGAAAAGAGCAAGTATCACTGTCCTGATTATCTGTTCTATTGGGAGCTCTCAGTTCTGGAGGCTGAGAGGGCCCAGCTGGAGTCTCTCAGATCCTTCATATGAACCGCAGGCAGTTGGTGGCTGGGGCTGCAGTCATTGGAAAAGCATCCTCACTTGAGAGGCTTATGATTTCTGGTTGACTCACCCTTTGTGGTGCTCACCTAGCTGCTGGATGCACACGGTGGCCTGATTCCTCCATCAAACAACGATACATTTTGCTTAAAAATGGAGCAAAATCTAGGTGATATTATTTGGGGGGACAATATAAATGTCTAGTTCTCCATCAACCATTCATCTAGTGCTTTTAAAATCAGTGACTTGCCAGGCACTGTGGCACACATTATCTATAATCCCAGATATTCTGGAGGCTGAGACAGGAGGATTGCAAGTTTAAGGCCAGCTTCAGCCTCACAATGAGAATATGTCTCAAAATAAAAATAAAAACCAGGGAGCTGGGAGCATAACTCAGAGACAGAGCGCTTGTCTATTATGTACGAGGCCTTGGGTTAAGTCCCTAGCAAAGCAAAATAAATAAATAATAAATACAGCAAGAAGTTAAAATAAAAAAAAA